AATTCGATCATGGATTACAAAAAATTCTATCATGGGTTACAAAAAAACAAAAAATTCGATCATGGATTACAAAAAAACAAAAACAATTCGATTATGGATTACAAAAAAATCGATCAAGTATTACAAAAAAATCTATCATGGATTACAAAATCAAAAAAAAAAAAAAAAAAAAAAGTTACCGTACGTGACTCGCCGATTCCGTACAGTGAATCGGCGAGTCACTGTACAGAACCGTCCGGTTCTCTCTAGAACCGAACGATTTCCGATTTTTTAGCTGATACGATCCACTTTTTACGATTTCCGAGTCGAATCGGGCGAGTCCGGTTCGACTCGACGTTTTTTAAAACACTGCCTCAAACTAATCATCCTAAACACCTCTAAGTCTAATATCGAAGACTAACTCGCAAACCAAACTGACACCCAACAGTCTAAAAACTAGCACCCTAAAATCCAACAGTCTAAAAACTAGCACCCTAAAATCCAAGTCTTGTAGACCCTCAAAACTCACTCAAATGGGATCAAATTTGATTTCAAATTGTAGAGAATTTATTCGACGGTTCAAAAATCACTCAAATTTGATATATTATTTTAAAGGCATAAACCGAATGAAATTGTTTTCAAAATTTTTATTTTGGTCCCTGCGTGAGTTTGGTTAAAACATGCGTGAGTTGAAATAATCAAGTCAAAATGCATGTGTTCAGTACCGAGGCATCATATCATCGGATTGATAAAATTGTCGGACTGCAACAACAATTTGCCGGACTGCATTTACAAGTGTCGGACCGAGGCATCATAACTGACGGAGCGTATTTATAAGTGCCAGACTGACGACATTCAATGACCAAAAAAAGGGCATTTTAGTACAAAAAAATATGACTTTTTGACCTAAGGGTATTTGCTATAAAAATTTAGTTTGGGATAAAAGTTGTGATAAAAAAATTGTTTGAAGGGCGGTTACGAAGAAAATCCAATTTGGGGAATTAGCGGTAATTTTTCCTAGACTATTTAACAGTTTGCCCTTTAGAAACTATTCCAACTCAAGACCATCGGTATTTTTCATTTGAATTTTTCACAAGAAATTTTCACGCACATCTCCCTAAATCATGGTTATTAAGAGAGTCCCCTTAATTTTTCAAATTTACGTTCATACCCATTTTTTTACAATTTTTGTTAGCCCAAAATTAACCATCTTAGATATTCAAGATCCAAAATTCCTATAGAAATTTTGGATTTTGAAAATCTAAAATTTTTTCTAGCTCCGAGGGCCTAGCTGACACAAGAAAACGAACATTCGAAATTCTGGAAATTTTGGAAACTTCAAATTTTGAGAATCCAAAGGAAATTTTTTTCGGATTTTGAAAATGTGAAGCTTCAAATTTTAGATTCAACATCTGGAATTTCAAATTTCAGATTTTCAAAATATGAATTTATGGAGATTTTGGATTTTGAAGTTCCAAAATTCTTGTGGGTACACTAAGTTCTATAAATTTCAGAATTTTTAAATATCTTTAATGCCCAAAACTTTGATGCCCAATTTTACAAACTTTTGCCCTACTAAATTTTGGATCTTGAATAGCCGAAATATGGGTAAATTTTTTCATTCTAAAAAATGGCAAAAAAGGGGTATATACATGTAATAGCAAAGAATTTTCCAGTAATTATTAAATTGCCATAAAATTGGGGATATTAAGTAAATTTCTTTATTTTACAGGTATTTAAAATTTAAATAAAAGAATTGCTCATCTCTTATAGGGAATTTCATAAATTTCTCTCATATTGCTGAAGAGGTAATTATATGAAAGCGTTTCTAAAAAGTTACCACTTTATTGCTATATATACTGCTTGATTCAACTCCCTCGGTGTAAATTTTCTCCATTTTACCCATTTCATTTGAAATCAAAGACAATATAAAGGCTTCTCTCTTGAAATAGTAAGATCCGGCGCGTGTTGGGTTCAGAAACCTAGCCGTTGTACAGTCCCAATAAAATTTCAAATTTTGAAATGCAAATTGCAGAGCAAGGGAAAGATTCCACCTTTTCATGCAAAGCAGATTAACTTGTCCCACTTGTGAACGCACAACCCTAGGAATTGGAGCCTTCTGTTCCCCCCATTTACTCATTTCAAATCCTCAACTCTCTCTCTCTCTTTTTCTCTCACTCTTATTTCTAGAGAGAGAGAAGCATGTAGTTTTTGCCTGAGAAGGACTGAAGGAGTCGGGGAGAGAGTTCTCCCACCACATTCGTTCGTTACAGAACTTTCAGTCATGGTGCTGGGGTGTTGAGAGAGAAATAGTTGGTTTATCTGTGTAAGGCCAAAACCCAGGAATTGAATCCGATGAAAGATTTGGGTTTAGCTGGCAGTAATGCAGGGATGAAAACCCATGTCTCAGTTTTAGCTGACATCTTGTTTTCAGGCTAGAAAGTTTTTAGCTTGGTTTTGGTTTCACTAGAAGCAGGGGAGATCCGTCTTCTAAGAGAGAGCTCAAGGGGTAGGTGGCTTGCTTTCACTGGAAAGAGCTCAAAACCACCAATTTTCTTTTGCAGGATCAAGATAAAACTGGTTCTGGGTTTGCCCTAAAACCCATCTTTTCATTTGAAAGATTAAGAGGAAAACCAGTTCCAGCTTCACTCAAATCAGAGCTCAAAAAGCCCAAGTTTTCTATTGCAGGACCAATAAGAAATTGGGTTTGGCTTCCTTTAAGCTGCAAAACCCTGCTATTTGAGTTTTTGTACCGAATATGTCTCATTAATGGGGTATACACAAATGATGCTCTTCACGTGATTCCATATTTATAAGGAGCTTTCAAGTAAGGCGGCAAACAAAGGTGTTCACGAACTCCATTGTAAATTTTATGAGTTTCAGATTTCCATTCTTTTCGGTGCATTTATTTTTTTCAGCTCTTTCAATGCTTGTGGCATAATGGTACTGATTTCTGAATATTTTCAATAAATGCTCAATAAATAGCAAGAACTATGGAAATTATGGTTTCTTGGTTTATAATGCTCCAGTTTGAATTAGTCCTCACTCAATTACAATGAAACTTGGTTTCTTCGAATTGTTTTGGCTAATAATTTGCTTGACACTTTTTTCTTCTATATTGTAGTGAGAGACTGGTCCTTAGGTTTTTTGGGTTCTCCTGGTTTTGGTCTTTTTGTAAAATTAGTCCTAGCAATTACAGTATAATACCCCTTGTCATGGATCTGGTATTTTTCTTTCCCATCAAAATTATGATAAAGAGTGGCTTTTTCCCTTCTATTTAACGATCATGCTCGGTTTGGGCCTTTGGGGCTAATTATGTTAAAATTTTCATTTGAATTTTTCTGGTTAAACCTCTTTTTTATCCATATTTCAAGGTTGGGGTTTTCAATTTTCAGGTTAAGATTTTGATCCTGACCTAGAGAGATGAGAGAAGAGATTACTGCAACTACTCGGCAGAAGCCGAGTAAATTCCCTGATCAAAGCCATGCACCAAAGATATCAAAGCTTAAGTCCAATTCAACATGGGGATCTCAGATTGTCAAGGGGTTCTCAACTGAGAAGAAAACACGAACCAGAGTGAGTACCCAAGAGCCGATTGCCTCTGCCAAGAAAACAACAATAATTTCTGTTCGTTCTAGCGATACTGCTCTTACAGTTTTGAAAAGATCAGATGTCTCAGACTTGACAACTTTGAACAAGAAGCCACCTGTTAATAGTTCAGAACGCCCGAACCAAAAATATCTCTTCAATTCTTACCCCTCTAAGGTTAAGCGCTCGCTAATTGGTGACTTCCCTTGTTCAGCGGGTGCTCAGGTTCACCCCCAGATGCCGAAATCTCATCACGTGAGGTCCTCTAGTTCGAGTGATTTGTTCTTTGAGTTAGAGCATCTCCGGACATCTCTCCAAGAATCAAAGGAGAGAGAAACAAAGCTACACAGTGAAATTCAGGAGTTTAAGGGGCTCAAGTCCAAAATTTTGGAGCTAGAGAGAGAACTTGAACTTAAGAAGACAGAAGCTGAGACTTTCAGTCAAAGAGTTTGTATGCTTGAAGACGAAAAGGAAAAGATGTCTGAGCAGTTGGCTTCACTCTCTACAGTCAGGGAGAGCAAGGAGGAAGGGGCAACACGTCTAGTTAAAGGTTTTGAGGACTGCAAATATGATCAAGATAGTGAGAGGACGATGAAGAGTATAAGGAAGCTGGAAATGGAAGCTGTTGAATTGAGGCGTGTGAATATGGAACTACAGTTCCAAAAGAGAGACCTTGCTTGCAGGCTTTCCTCTTCGGAGTCCCAACTTGCTGTTCTTGCCAAAAAGACAGAGGTATGGTCCCTAACAACTCCGAAATTTTGATTTTATTCTCTCTATTTGATGTTCGTCTTCCACAATTTCTCAGCTTTCCAAATAGAGATTTTGCTCATGTATAGAAGTACAATCATGACTCTATCACCCGCTGGCGAACTTGCAACATTGCAGACCAGGAACCAGGATAGTAAAAAACAGTATACTAGTCCAATTTTTCATTTGCTTGGTTCAATTTTATTTTGGTATTTATCCCTTTATTTTACTTTCACTTATAAGGGATCACAATATTCATTTTCCATTGCCTTGATTCTAAGTTTTAGAAGTTGATCCCTTGCAGTTCCTGGAATTTATTTGTTTGTTTTTATTTTCTCATTTTTCTTTCTACTTCCAACAGCATAATTAGAGCCGTTTTAGATTTCAACTGCCTTGTATTCAGTTTTTGACAGTCTTTACCCTCAATATGCTACTGTTTTTTCTATCTGAAATTGACAGAATTTAACATGTACAGTTATATTATTGTGTCACTTATGATTAACAGAGAACTGTTAACTTATTCAGAATTTTCCTTATTTCACATGTTTTCTAGTAGGTCTGTCTTCTTCTCAATTCTTTTCTGAATTCTAATGTTGGTTCTCATACATCATGCTTCATTATTAAATACATGATTACTTTCTGATGAAAAAAGATTTCCTCTCTTCCATATGTTCTCTTTCTGTTCATTTTTTTTTTTTAATCTTTTGTATTTAAATGCTCTGGTACTTCTAAATCGTCTATTATTTTAAACTCATTATCTCGGGGATTTTTTGTTGTAGAGTGATAAGGTGGCCAAGGTTGAAGCAGAAGCGTCAGTACTAAGGCATACAAATGAAAATTTGTGCAAACAAGTTGAGGGGTTAAAGATGAGCCGATTCACTGAGGTTGAGGAACTTGTTTACCTTAGATGGGTTAACTCATGCTTGAGGCATGAACTAAGAAATGTTGATAGCCAGTTGAAGAAACCTTCAGCTCTAGATTTGAAAGAGACGTGGAGCCCCAATTCACAGAACACAGCCAAACAACTTATGATGGAGTATTCTAGGCCTGCATTGCAAGATTCTAGTATAAAAAGCATCCTTATAAACACTAACAGAGATGAAGATTCGGAGAACTTATCTTGCTTGTCGAGCACATCAGATTCCAGCATTCATAGCTCAAAGAAGGTGGGTTTGATCCAAAAGCTGAGAAAATGGTCCAAAAATAACGACGATTGCCAACTTTTAGACCACCAATCTCTCTCAGGAAAATGTTGGGAAGCTACCCAAGAAGGCGGAAGCCCAAGGCGTAGGCATTCTATCAGCGGTTCGAAAGGTTATGCTGAAAATTCAACACTGTGCAAGCAAAGAGAGTCGAATGAGATTGATAGGGAGAGAGGAGCATATGTTAATGAAAATTTTCCTCCAAAATATGAATTGGGTGTTGTCCAGAGTCCGAGATTCTTGGTTAACAAGCAAGACCTAATCAGAATTGCACCATCGGAAATTGAGAAGAGAGCACTAAGGGTTCCCAATCCTCCACCTAGGCCATCAAATTTGGCTCAAAATGAGCACAAAAATGGAGGAATAACCAAAGTTGCACCCCCTCCACCTCCCCCGCCACCGCCTCCTCCTCCCAAGTTTTCAATGAGAAGTAGTGCTAGTGTAATGCAAAGAGCCCCGGAAGTAGTTGAATTCTACCATTCTTTGATGAAGAGAGATGGTAGGAAAGATTCAGCTGCAGGAGGGGTTTGTGATGCACCTGGAGTGACGAATGTTCACAGTAGTATGATTGGCGAGATCGAGAACCGGTCCTCTTATTTACTTGCTGTGAGTTTTTGCTTCCCACTGATTTCATTTGTTTACTTGGAAATTTGTAGTTGATCTATTTATTGGTTGTACTGGTGATTTGGTTTCTGTCTTAGTTAGAAATCGTAGTCCTTGGGGATATCTCTGTTGTATAAAATGGTGAAAAATGGTGGTAAGGGAGTCAAAAGATTACCACATGGACCTCAACACTGGGTGGCACACACACACTTTCTCCATCACTGTTCATCATTTTAGATTGTGAATTAATTCATTGGACTATAGTTTTTCCATGGTCGAGTGCATTTGTAACGTGCCTCTTGAAGCTGAGATTTGTAAAACTCACTTTTGCTCTTCCTGTTCATGATCCTTGTTGGCCTTTCAATTGTGAGGATATATCTTATCCTTAAAGCTTGATTGTCTGTTAGATTACTGCAGGTAATGCCTTCTTTGGTGGATTTTACGAGTGTTAGCCAAATTTCATCAGAATATAATTCTACATTCAAATTCTGTCTTTTCATTATGTTATTTTTTTTGTTTTCAAGAAGATTATGGGCCGTCACATTAGTGGATTTGAAAATATCTCTGTCCCATTCTTTAGTGGTTTAAGAGGATCTGAGGTTCTCTATTGTAATGAATTTGTAATATAGATTAAAGCGGATGTGGAGACCCAAGGTGAATTCGTGCGCTCCTTGATAAGAGAGGTGAACAATGCAGTATACAGGGATATTGAAGATGTAGTCGCCTTTGTAAAATGGCTAGACGACGAGCTCTGTTTCCTGGTATGGTTGTGTATTTTATGTCATTGGATGGTTTTTTATTAGATATTTATCTAATGATTGTGCACTTAAATTGTGGTTGTTGAAGGATATTTAGCAAACTTTGGACTTAGTTTACTGGCTTTCCTAGGGATTTATTTGTTAAATTGTACTAGTCAAAAGAATATTTTGCCTGAATTGCTCTTTATGCCTTTCTTCTGTTTGCAGGTTGATGAAAGGGCAGTTTTGAAACACTTTGAATGGCCTGAGGGGAAAGCTGATGCTTTAAGAGAAGCCGCATTTGGTTATCGTGATCTAAAGAAGTTAGAGTCAGAGGTTTCCTGTTTTGAAGATGATTCTCGTGTTCCTTGTGATGTCGCTTTGAAGAAGATGCTATCGCTTTCAGAAAAGTAAGAACCAACCTTTATTCTCTCTCGCTCTCTCGTTTATTAGTTAGGCTACCAATTTGTTGATTCTGAGAGTTGAACTGACTCTTGGCTTTTGAATCTTAATAGAATGGAACGTGGTGTATATAACTTGCTCCGAACACGAGACGTTATCATGGGGCATTGCAAAGTGTTTCAAATCCCTACAGATTGGATGCTTGACTCAGGGATCATCAGCAAGGTACACATTTTTAGATGACTTATCAGGATTCTGAGATATTTCAATTATTTTAGTTGATTTTAATGAATTTTTCAGTATTTAAATAGTCCTACTTAATTATTGCATTATGGCTTTACGCTCTTGTCCCCTTACAGGTTTTGTACTAAATCTTGTTAATTATGCAGATGCATGCTTTTGTACTAAATCTTGTTAATTATGCAAATGCATGCTTTGTTTTTGTGAAAATTGAGCAATCTTACAGGAAATTATTGTGGGATGGGTTTTTGATGCATCAGCTGAAGCACCTATTCAAATTTGGTCATCTTAGAAAGAGTTTTTTACATGTTACGTAATGTTGTCATCGATCTAGAAAAATAATAATAATGATAAATTTCAAACCTTTAAAAAATATTATTTTAGACTTTGTTTTTGAACCATTCCTCACTGTTCATCAAATATGCACTATTTTTGAGCTGCAAAATCTTGGTTCCAAAGCAAATCATGAATTTTTGTGTAGGTAAATTTTCCGCATCCTCAGTTTATTTTGCAGTAAATTCATTACTTAGATTCATGGTCATGGTTGAATGGGTGCAGATAAAGTTCAGTTCAGTGAAGCTTGCCAAGAAATACATGAAAAGAGTGGCCATGGAGCTCCAAGCTAAGGGTGCCTCAGATAAGGATCCCTCACTGGAGTACATGCTACTCCATGGTGTGAGATTTGCGTTCAGGATACATCAGGTATGCCATTAAACAGAACCCAAATTTAGATCCGCTATTTTTTTCATTTGCTTAGTTGCCACCAGTGTTCAGTTGCTCAAACCGGACCCAGAAACTTGCCAAGGGCTGGGTCTGAGTAACTTGGAAACCAATTGGCTCACCCGGCCTAACCGGGCAGGTCCAGGGTGGGCCAAAAAGTGTTAAATTTTTTTGAAAAAATACAAAATAAATCCTAAAAACTATGAAAAGAATATTTAAAACATAATTAAACAAAGCCCATCCAAATGAAGCTGAAAAATTATTGAAAAAAAATAGATTTCAAAAAGGAAAATTGTTTCATGCGGTGGGGACCGCATTTCTACATTTGCAGTCCTGAGGTATAAGGCATCCACCTTAAAAATAGATGCAAATAGGTGGTCCATCTAAAAATAATTGAAACTAACTGTCCAAATGTTTTCTTAATAGAATTATTATTTTTAATTTTTAAAATCTATTTATTTATTCATATTTATGATCTCCATGTTGGAGATTAAATGTCCTTAAAAATTAGGTCAAAAAATCCATCTCAAAAATAAGTTTTTAAAAGGTGACTCATTTCTGCATGGACTCATAGCAACCAATCTTTAACACCAGCTTTGAATCCAGCGCTTGCTTTAGTCTATGTTTTTGGTGGCATAAGTCCCTCCCTACAACTCATGAATTAAGAATTCTCACAAGGATGGGGTCTACTCGACATAGATTAGGCGTAAATGAAACCTTTCACAAAAATCTCTCCCAAAATTCTCAACTAATGCTAATATAAACTATCTACTAATTAAAAAAAGGTCTGTTATTGGACCACGTGGATTTGCCAAATACATCATTATTGTATACTGTTTCATATGTATGGCATAACCCCCTTTCGTGTGTCCTTTTGAAAAATCGATTTGTGCATAAGAGTATTTTAGAAATAATCTTAAAAAAAAAGAAAAATATAAAAATAAGTCTTCATGGCCAAAACAGATTCCAATCTCTGCCAAAATGATGAAAAACATTAAAAAAAAACATTACAAATGAAACCCTTATTTTTTGAGATTTTATTTATACATTTGTTTTTGAATTTTTACTAAAATAACAGGCTGGACCACCTAAACCGGCCAAAACCAGCTCGGCCAGTGACCAGTTCCAGTTTACTCGGTCAGTTCCGGCCAAGTACTGGTTTCCATAGAGTTGCCATAGAGAGAGGGACCATTTTTTTCAGGATACACCAGGCATGCCATTTTGCAGAACCCACAGTTTTAATCAGCCTTTTTGTTTTTTTTTCATTTGCTTAGTTGTCACAGAGAGACTTCTTTGTTCACTATGCATACACTAAAGTTGGGGGTCCGTTGGATTGTTCAGTTTGCAGGAGGATTTGATGCAGAAACCATGCAAGCATTTGAGGAGCTTCGAAATCTCGCTCATATTCGCAATAACAAATAGAAAACCAGTGAGAAACCATGATGACTACTACTATAGAAAAAAGAACCATGCTTACCAGCTCAGTAAGTCATAAACACTTCGAAACTTGTAGTTTCTTTTTCATAAATTCTCCTTTTTGGTGTGGTTGTAAGTTAATCATTTTTTGTTGTTTCTTTTTGTTTTGGTGTGGTTGTAAGTTAATCATTTTTGTTGTTTCTTTTTGGCGTGCTTATAATTTGTATAGAGTGAGCTTCTTAGTGTCTTGATCTTGTGGAATTTGATAGGGCAATTTGATGGAAAGGAAAGTTTTTTATACTTCTCCAACAGTATATTAGTTCACCTATTCAGCCATCCAATCTGAATGGATGGTTGAGATGGACCCAATCACAATGTCACACATCTGCACCGCTTTGTTTTTACTTTTCTCTACAAAATATTTTGACACTGAATTTTGGGTGTCCGTTCTCCTCTTTTAAACTGGCACCTGCAAAAAATATTAAAAGATATTCTCGGTAAATAAAATGACCAAAATACGCCTAAAAGTCATAGGTTTATTTTTAGTCATTTTATTGTATCAAATATATTTTTTTATTTTTTATTTATGTGCGCCTCATTGAGGTGATGATATATACCAAATTTCATATTCATATGCTTTTTTAAAAATTAAAAATAAAGTACCATGAGGCATTTGATCTAGATCAATGGTTAATAGCTCACTTAATCTAAATTGGATGGTTGGATGGGAAGGGTGGGGGGCATATCTAATTTCTATGTAGTAAGGGAAGTACATAAAGCTTTTCCTTGATGTAAAATTAATTAGAATACTTTTTTTTTTTTTGATATGTTAGTAGTGGGTTCAAGTCTAAATAATTCGGATAAGACTTGGATGATGATGATGATAATTATATAAGGGTTGGTCGTTGAGAGATCCTCTGCACTAACCACCCATGCCTCAACCACATTCCCTCATTTGGAATGTTGTAAGATAGAAACTTGAAAAAACAAAATTTAAAATTATGTGCACGAGACTCTTCTATTGTCTAAAGATTATAAACATTAACACCGTTGTTAGAACATTTAAAACAGGGAAATATGTGTCCAGAGAGTATAAACATTTAAAAATTTCTTTCAAAATTTTATATTTTATATTTTATATTCAATCTCTTTTTTTTTTTTTTTCTTTTTCTTTTTATAAAATATTCCTACATTCAGAATTGATAATGACTTTGAGTCAAAGTCATGAAATATCCTTTTACCTATGCTTGAAAATTTCGGTACGGTACTTGGTCCCTACCTCGTTTTCGAGCTGAAACTTGTTAAAGGAATTGATAAAGAAAAGGTCTTGTCAAATTGCGATTCGGGCAAGAGCCAAGCCAGAAGACCCTTTCCCACTCATATGGGCAACAGGGTTGGCTTCCAACACTCTTGAATCTGAAGTCCGAAGAGGGTTTTGAACTTGGAGTAAAAAAAGAAGGGGCGTTTTCTATAGAGTTTTGAATACAAAAGAAAACTAATAAAAGAGAAGAAAAAGAAAGAGGATGAAACAAAAGAATACCTTTGGCCAAGCCCCTAGGCCCGACACCTGGAATCGGTATCAGTTCAAAGTAGATGCTCGCATGAGTGCGCCCGGGCCTTCGGAAGTGGGGATAAGGGGTTCCGAAAGGTCGGGTTATTTGGAAATTCATAGTGTGCCAAGAGTTTGAATGTTTTGTGTGAAAATTCAGTCTTCTAAAGTCAGGGAATTGGCCTCTTATTTATAGGTAAACTTATCTTATTATCGCCATTGGGACAAAATCTTGACCGTTCAGATTAAACTTTGCCGCACTAACCCCAAAACAAAATCTTGTCATTTTATCGCCATTGGGTCGAAATTCATTATTGAGATTAAATCTCGATCGTCTAGATTGAGGAGCAGTTGGCAATCCCTTCAACAAAATTAGCATATGCATCACCCTAGCATTAATTACGGTCCGCATAGTTAATGCTTAAGCAACCCATGATCTTTCAGTAGGTTGTGATTTTGAGGGCAGGGTGTTAGTGATTCAATGAAGTTGAAAACATAGTTGACGTTACTGCATACTTTGTTCAATGAAAGCTGCCATGTGTCCTTCTCTCGGCTTTTTTTTGAGCGATCGCCGGCCAATCAGGGGCTGACGGAGTTGGGAAATGCGTTGATGCACGTGCTGTTCCAACATCAGGGAAGAAGAATGGGGGTAGAGAGCGAGAGAGGGGGCTGCGGCCCAACTTATGTTAGGACTGCAGCCCTATGAAAACATTTTGCTTGAGTTATTGCTTTACTTTTAAGTCATAAAGCAAGTTTACTTTCAATCTTAAAAACCTAGGCTTAATGCTAACCTTTTCCTAATAAAGAAATGAAATAATCACCTAAAACTTGGTTAGTTAGCATTAGCTTATCTTGTCTTCTTATTTGTTGGCTAAAGTGATCCTGGCCTTGATTTATAAAGTTCCTCTCACTGTCTCCTGTCTATAACTTCGGTCAAGAGCAGATATAAATGTCATGGTTGGTTTGATCCAAAATAAAAGCTAGATTAGAGAGTAAATCTATGTTTGATTTTCATGTTTGATTTCGCGACATGAGAGTTGAACATCCCACTTCCATATTTGATTGCACAATGTGGAAGCCACTACATGGAAGTGCGGCCTTCTATGCATCTATTTTTGACGTCAGGAATATCATTTTTTGGAACACCGCTGTTCCCTAAAAAAACCATTGGAAGGACATACCCGAATTCTCTAAGCATCAAACTTGCCCCAAGTAACGTTTGGAATGATGTTTAGTGACAATTTTAGAAATGGCCGTAGTAAAGGTAATGCACTTTAAGCATAATTTTACCTAATATATATCAAAATCGCCGTTATTTAAGAAATTCTTCAAAAAGTTTGTTTTCACATTCAACCGTTTCCAATTCAACTTTGTTTGGAATTTTTTGGTTTTCTTTTGAAATTATTATTATTTTGGACATTGAAGATATGGAGTTTTAACTGTTTTTTGTTTGTAAATTTATTTCAGACTTTGAAAGTATGAAGTTGTTCCAAATTTCAACTTTAGACATTTAAAATCAAAAGACCGTTTATTGGTTCTTGTTCCAAATGTCAATGTTGGACCTTCTTCGTTCCAAACATCAAGTTATGAAGTTGATGTTTGAGACCTGTTTCGTTCTAAACATCAACCTTCTATCTTCAAGTTCCAAAGTTAATGTTTGGAACAACTATCACTTTTAAGGTTTGAAATAATTATGGATAAAAAAAGTGAGGAAAATATTATATTATCGTCTATTTTTAACTTCTATATCTCATTAGACCTAATAATTGAAAATATTACTTGTAAGCTAAAGAACTTCATCTTTTCTATCTTCCAACCCCTTAAACCCTTTTGACCATGTATTGATGACTTCAACAACTTATGAAATGACTCTATCTCTCTCTCTCTAAAACTCTATCTCTCTCTCACATCATCTCTCTCTCTCTCTTTCTCAAAACTCTATCTCTCTCTAAATCCCAAATTCCATCTCTCACTCGCACATCATCGTCTCTCTCTCTCTAAACTCTATCTCTCTTCCTAAAACTCAAACTTCATCTCTCTCTCTAAAACTCTATCTCTTTCTAAAACCCAAACTC